TTCCATCCATACATCGTCATGGACTCATGATCATATTGCCAAGCTTTAGATTATTTAATAACAAAATATAATAATAATAATAAAAAAAAAAATTCATAAATACCTATTTTTAATTATTGTGGCTATAAATTTACATAAAATATAATCATTGATTGTTGATACCCCTTAGAACGCATACTTTATTTATATCGTACAGTATATTATATCAAGGTAAATATGCATACGTTTAAGGTCCTCGGTCACTCTTAGGTCCAATTAAAATAAGAAATAAATTCTACCTATATCAGCATTTTCTAGAAGATATAGTTAAGAAACCTATCCTACACCGAACTTATATTGTAGGTACGATATAGCCACATCACACAATATTATATTGTTTTTGACAAGGCTGGGCAAGTTCACTAATTTTTCTAACTCGTTAAATTAAACTAATCTAAGTTTAAAGTTCTTAAGAGTTACAAGTTTAATAGGAATAAATGTGGTTAACTTGACTTAGTTAAAAATCAGTTACATTTTCTTTATATTTAACATGTACAATCTATCTACACTAAAGTACGGTGTCACGTCAATTTATCGCGTCTTATCGTTTTATATGATTTTTGAACTCTAATGAACTCTGCCAATGCTAGCCTCAGTCAAATCGTCATTTTGACCGTCGTGTATTTATCGAGTACGCTAATTTATTATTGCAAGTTGCAATGTTTGTTTATTAATAAAATTATTCTATTATGGCTTTTTAAATGCTAAAAACTGAGAAAGGGAAGGATATGCTTTGCTACGATGGCCACATTTTTTTAAAAGAAAAAGAAAATGACACGAAATCCATATAGAAATATAATCAGTAGGTATTATAAAAATAAATGTCGCGGACGACTCCACCTAAGCGAAGGGAAAATATTAAAAAACGCTAACCATAATCACGTTCCAAGTTCATTAGACATTTAGGTAAAAAAAAAAAAAAAACACTTAATAATTTAAAAGATATAAGCCGGTAATAATAGTGATATGAGAACACAATCGGTAATAGGCTCAGCACTTATAGCGTTTTCTACTACACTGCGCTGATTGCACCAGTGTATATTTTCATGTTCCATTGCGGCAAGATTAATGTGTACTGAGTGGACTTTTTTATGTTCCACCTGTAGTGATCACGTCGCCTACAGGTATCAGTAGTCAAGGATGATGTTGGAAGGTGACTCTTGAGTTAATTTAAACAACGTTGAATTCTTCTTAGTTAGACTGATTGATTATTTATTTTGACAAAACATATATTTATTTATAAACATGAAAGCTGAATTTATTTAACAAGTTAAGTATTCTGAATGACTAGAATAAATTCGGTTTGACTAGAATATTTTCTAAGTTCAGAAAATTATTTTATGAGAATTTTTCTAAGTACAATTTAATAAATTAAAGAACAGACTGGCGTGAAGGTGCTCTGGCTAGTCTGGTCAAGTCGCGTCTGAATACAGGCCGTTTCGGGGTCTCCTATATAGTGCTACCCTCTACTCCCCATAGTCTACTCGTTCTTGTCGCTGCTCTCACGGATGTGGTATAATCATCTAAACCAGTGGCGAGGCGAGCTATTTTAACACAAGGAGCAAAGATTTTAGTCTAGGTATACCCACCCATCCAATATTTTATCAAATACACAAAAAATCAGATAATCTTGTTGCTTATTTATATTATAGTAGGACATAGGTATAGGTACAATGTACATGATTACTTCTAGTATATGCATATATGATCAATTGTAATACCCACCAACCCAAAATTTGGACCTAGACCACATTCACCACGCCACTGATCTAAACTGACGGAAATGCCACTCGCCCACATACTATGAAAATACGCAACCCGTGCAGCTGCAAACTTCGATAATTCTATTATTATCATGCAAATATATTTTATGATATTATATGCGGTCGTTGGTTGTTGGTTCTCGGAATCCCTGCACCGATGCATAACTCTACGTCCTGTGCACACCTATTGATAATCTTTTTATAGTCGTATGCCCACCTGATTATGTATTTCCCTAATGTTAATGATTTCCGTGAAATGCTTTCTCTCCTACAATTACAAAGTTGGTCGCAACCTACCCTAGCTTGGTTCCTGCTGGTACTTAGTTGACCGTGAACTAGATAATGCGGGGACGCCAGTCCATAAGCACACCTCAATGAACTACGACAGTTTTTTGCACCCAGTGCAATGATAATCGCCTGATCATTATCATGATAACTGGTAAGTATCACAATATGCTCATTAAATATTTTATTACCTTTATAAATCAGTGATGAGTATAGATTTTATGTTACATCTATCACTTGCACCAGCCAGCACTAGGCCGATTATCAGTGAATATTGTACCAATGCCACCTTGGTGCAATAGTGTGGTATTGTGAAAAATGCTATTAGTCAAATCCTTATTGAATCATTTGGGCAGTTATCTAATATGAATAGACTTAAACGTACTATTCAACGTGTACGTAAGCAAAAATTACAGTTGCCCAACGACCCGACTGACTTAAATTTCATCACACCTGATGAAATGACGAAAGCCATAGATGGAAATCTTTTTTTGCAATATGATAATGGTATTAATTAACGAATTTTAATTTTTTAAACATAAAGTTTATTGTATCTTATGACACAATGCGACAATTGGTTTTGGGATTTCACATTTTATAGTGCACCATCATTATTTTATCAATTTTATACGATTCACGCAAAAACAAAAAAAAACCCTATAAACGTATGTTTCAAGCACTAAAAACAATTGTGTCTAATCTAAGTACTAAGACAATTATGGTTGACTTTGAAAACGGTGCAATTAATGCTATAACTTCTGAGTTTTATAATAATATATAGATGACAACTTTTGCGCAACAGGTTCATAAATTACCAAGCTTAGCTTATGTACCAGTAAATAAGGTTATTGAGTCTTATGAAAAATTGTTGGACACCAAATACTTTATTGAAAATGACGAACTAYTATCACCAATTCTTAATTATTTTGAAGATACTCGAATAGGACGTACTGACTGGTGACAAAAAAGGCGATCGCCTAGTTTCAAAATTTCGATTTGGAACTGTTATTCGTTGGTTTCTGAAGATTTACCAAGAACAAATAATACTGCTGAAGGATGGCACAATTGTTTTACGTATAATAAAAATTTGATAGTTGAATTGTTTTTAGATAATATTTAGATAAAACAGATACCTATGACATACCCTCACAAATAATAATCTCTATTATTCTTGTGATATGTGTTTTAATTCTAAGGTTAGATAGGTTAAAATATTATTTCGCATGCATACTTAAGCGGCTAAGCTTTATCCATGTTGCGTGTGGGACAGAGAGAGAGACAATAATCATCGCGCTTAATGCTTAAACAATAAATTAACGTTTTTTTTAGGTAATTGGGGATAGGTGGTCCCAGGATTTTACTTCAGGTACAACCCATTTAATTTACTTAATACTTATACGTTAATAAATTTTTATTAAACACATATACATATTATACATACTTTAAAACTTACATTTCTATACCACCCACATATGTATGTTAACAAATTGTTATAATTATAAGTTGTATAATATTGTATTGACAACCAATGAAAAAAAAAAACGTTGCAGTTGAAATGTCAGATGCTGCAGGACAGGCTGCAAAAGCTACTCTCGTAGGGCTGCTTATGATGTAGGTATTAATTTTTGATAGGTGGTATAAATTTTAAATTGTGTCTTTGTCACAATCTTTGAGTAGAAATAGTGTTTCAACTTTCAAAGTTTCTTAAAAAAACTTAGAGTGGTGTAATATATGTTGCATTGATTGTTTATTTTTACATAAGTTATGGAATGGAACTATTAACCTATCCATGAGCTATTGAGCCTTACTGGCCTTGGAGATCAATCAGGCAATACCTAGGCATAATTCCCTATTTTACATTTCACGTTTGTTCCAAGTAATCGTAATTGGGTTCTCCATAGTGACTATGACATAGACCTATCAGTATAATTTTACATTACAGTAACTAACATCTAATTTCGATTTTTTTTTTATGATAATTGTTAGTTGAAACAATATTGATACTTGTTTCTTAATTTATTTATAATATTTATATAGGTATTATGTTATTTCTAACCTATGTTATATAATATATATGTACTGTTCTCTCTGCAGTCGTGGGCGTTACTATACAATATAAAATAAAAATAAATTAGTATTTCAATGCATTAAAGTAACCTAACAACGTTTGTCATGCTGTACAACATTCTATACATGTATAATTAAAAATAGTTTGGTTTTTATTACGATATATGGTCAAAAGATATCTAATAACGAAATTTTTTTATGCCTTAAAATGTTATTAAAAAATGTAATGAGGCATCCCCTATAAAAAACTAGACTTTTCAAATATAACTTATAAAAAATAAAAGTCGAATTTAATCTCTAAATTTCGTAATTTCTTGGTCAACACCAAACAATTCAATGTCTACCAATGTTTTTTCGTCAAATTATATGTTATAAGTTTTATTTTCTATACTTTTTAGTTTTAAGTGCAAAAAAGCATATGTGCAAAGGTTTGGCGAATTGATTCAATTAGATATATTTCCATTAGTTAAAAATTGGAAATGAATAATGAAAAAATTTAACTAGGTAAGTTCAGTTAAGATAAAAATAAAATTTTTTAAACTCAGTCGAAAAAAGAGTCAACGAATTATTTTCTGTTGGTTCTTGGTATAAACACACTGACCCTGTCCTAATACTACTTACTACTCTACTTTGGGGTGAAACACTGTTACTTGTAGACATTTTATCAATTAATTTTAACTACCTATTTATATTTTTAGGTAGGTATATAACATATCTTCGTTCGTTATAGTTACCATTGTTAATAAATAAAAATACCCTTGTTTATCTGTAMRAAAATTATGATAGATTACAATTTTTGTTGAAACAAAATAATTATATTAAGTCATGACTTATAACAAATAGTTTATTGCTGCAGGTACCAAATGGTTTAATAGTTATAATTATTCTTAAAGAATAATTTAAATCAGAAAAATAATTTTTCAAAAACAAAACAAATTAACTTCACATTAGTTAACAGTTATACCGACAATAGATAGCGGTCTATATATTATTATTTAGTAGACAATTCATAAATTATGAAATAATTTTTTTTGTCTTAATCCTTTTCCATTTCTTCCTATTATATCAAAATTATATATATCTATACAAAAAAATTTATCATTAGGAACATTTTGAAACTGTTATAGAAGTAACTGGTTGTCATAAAAAATAAACTATTTTATTATTATCTTAAAGTGTAGATGATGTAGTCTGGCTGACAAAAAATGTTCATTAAGAATAAAATTACTTTTCATTGATCTACAATGAAATTAATACAATTTTGGTGCCTTGCTATTTTTTATTCAGCCAACTTATGTATCAAAGTATTACCTCATTATTAATATTATTATTTTTTCTTTAAACGTTTTATCGTATTTGGTAGTTAATTACAGTTATTCATTCAAGGTTTTATTAATTGTCGATTATTTGCACTAGCATCTATTGACCGCTATCAAGTGTCGTGGAATCTATTGATATATTGCAACCTAGTTTGCATATTTATAGTTCTGAGATTCATACAAATGTGGTCTTTCGTCCACTACTCTGGTCCACGGATGTGCTACCCGACCGTACTGTATGTCAGTAATCGCTTTAAAGAGTCTAGCATACAATGGGTTTGATTGGTCCATGGTTGGTAATTCCACACATGTGTCTTCATATAATATGGATGATACTGGGCTAATGACTGCTGCTGTACCAGTTCCGAAAAATTCAAGTATCTGAAATATTTGAAAGAAAGTTTAAGATGGAATAATAATAATACTTTTATACTTTCGTAGTTTCGTTTACACTTATAATGAGTGTGAATGCCTCTATTAGATTATATAAATACACGGTTATGGCTGGAAATTCCGCTATAATAAGAATTATGTTTAATAGGTGTCTACCTACGTGGCTCAAATGTTTCAACACCTTGAATTAAGGTACATTCAGTCAAGTATGTGTTTAAATTTTACAGTCGTTTAAGCATTATATTATAGAGGTGGGAAAGTAATGCCCTAGAGTCTAGGGTCCAGACAACCTAAAAAATCCCATACGATATCAGAATAATGGACTTAAGTACGTAAAATTGTCTTAATTTTTCAGCTTAAAGTAACCTTTATGGTTTGTAGGTACCTTATAGTTTTTACTTATACCTACCTTATATCTACAATCTACATGCTTTTAAAATTGACTAGTTAAGTATTTAGCAGTACTAAGCTACCAATTATTAATTAACATTTTTAATTATAAATTTCAATTGTTTAGTTTTAATGTATTATAGGTGTTTATCAATGGACGTGAATAGAATTCGGCGTAGACATGTAGTTTATTTTGCATAATTATATGACACATGATTCAATGATTGTATTGTCCAATACTTTAAAAATTGTTTATTACAAAAAAATGTATAAACTTAATCTTATATGTTTTCAAATATCTGTCTAGTTTTAATGTGAGAACAATGTTGTTGATGAAAAAAAGTTGTTTAGTGCAATTATACCTAATTTCAGATGTAGGTAGGTACTAATTTATTTTTCTCTTACTTGGTTATTGTTATTGAGTTCGATTAATTCATCCATTGTAAATTTTCTCTCCTCAACACGGAATTCGTCCCACTCTCTAGTCAAGTCTAATACTGAGCGCCTTGTKATGCCTGGTAGTATCATACCATTTAATGCTGGAGTGGCTAATACTTTTTCTGAAAGTTACACATAAAAACATAATAGGTATTATATTTTAATTGATAAATGATTATTTTCATAAAATGTCTAATAAATAGTAATCAAGTTTGGATTAAAATTATATGATGTAATTTTAGTTTAATTACCGCCATTTTGATTTTTGTAAAAAATGAACACGTTCATCGCTCCAACTTCAGTAATTTGTCGGTCTTCACCAAATAACCACAGCATTTGATGACAACCTAATTTTGATGCTAGTTCCTATTATAAGAGATTAAAAATTTAAAAATGTATATTGGTTTTTGCTAGACGTATAAAAAGGCTAAGGTTTAAGTTCTTATAAATGCGTTGAGCATTATTTCGTATAAATTATCGATGATAACGGAAAATAATAAGAAAATGGATATCAATATTTAAAACAGCATTTTACAAAATGTGGTTCACACCGAAGACGGTCTGTGAATTATTATTATTGTTAGGTTAGGTTGTTTTTATTATACTCTATGGCCTAATAGGGTAGGCAGAGGAAAAGCTTGAAAAACGCTGCCTTAGATCATAATGTATTATAGGGATCCTTCATATTGAATGATAAGCTAATTAGCATAGTCAACATACCGTGTGTATTATCATTTACATTTCAAAGCAATCGTTATTAATATTTTAAGCCAGGATTTTAACATGATTTACTCACTGTGCCCAACTATAAGACAAGTTTACTTTTGGGGTTGCTTCAATCTGTTTTTTGTAATTTGAAAATATATTTTTAATTTATTATGTATAATGACTATTTATTAATGTAATGTTGACGATGATTTAATAATAATGATTATTATTATTATAATCGTATTCAAATGTACCTACTCAAAAGACTATTTTATCTAATTATTTAAATTAACTTCACGGTAATGTTTATTTTTCCAAACCTAATTTAGGTATTTATGAATTAAACAAATAGTATAATTATATAGGTTTCTAATATACCTATAGCTATGAACATTATAATAAAGTTTTATATTTTTTTAAATAAATGTAATGTTTAGTTAATGTTGATGGTTTTTTGAATAATTTATGTTTAATTCAATATTATAAAAAATAGAACAGTACCTAATAGATTTTTAATGATCAATGGGATTTTGAATTTTTAAGTTAAATATTTAATGAAATAGGCATATCTACTCGTTAGCTTGATATTACCTACTTAATCTGATAAAAATATGATAAAAGTTATAAAAAATTTATTTCATCATAAATAAATTTTTAAATGATAGTGCATCAATATAAAATAATTGTATTTACTATTATCTATGTTCTACGTCCGAGATAATGTAATGTTTATTTTAATTTTATCAGTATCATGTGAGCTAATTAAATTATATTCTGTGTGTTAATCGTAGACATTCAAACAAGTATGTAGTAAATGTGATAAATTAATAATTATACAACGTTATTCAAACATTATTATATTCAAAATCGTTAAATTGTATTGTAACAGTGTATATTTCATCGTTATGTATTTGTATTTATGAAATATTATAAATTTATTACTTAGTTTATACATAAGTACTTACCTACTGAATTTAAAATATTAATTTTGAAAAACAATAAATTGAGAGTATAGAAGGAAGATATCGACGTCATATTTCATAAAATATAAAACACAACCTTTCCAAATTTAGGAGTTAAAAAGAAAAACTAAAAAATTATTTTTTTAGAATAAATATAAAAAGAAAAACACCGTGATTTTAAAATTAATAAAAAAATTGAAAATGAACAGTGAAGATTCAAATTTTCATTTGAACAGATTATTTAAATTTATTTGTTACCTAGCTATATGTTTTTAAATTACTGAAAGTATGTTATTCAACATTTTTATTGACATTTGTAACTAATTATTGTAGGTGCAATTAAGGGCGAGGGCTTGGGGGGCTTAGTCCTTTCAGTTTTATCTGTAGTCTCCCATTTTTTTTAATCATATTTTAGTTTAAAATATCAATTGTCATGGTGTATGCTGCTGATACAATTTTAGCCCCTTCAGAAAAATTTCTCTAGCTGCGCCTATGTCAACCATCATTGTTAGGGTATCCCCTGAAAATTATGTTTTAATATTTAGTTAAACTTATAATATTTTTATTAAAGATATTATATTAATTGTATTCGTAAAACAATATACACAAATAACATTGAATAATTGAAAAATTAAATTAAATATTTAATAAGAATATGAACATAAATATTATTTGTAAATTATTTTCAATTAATCTTTTAGAGTAATTATCAATATAACTTATTAAATATATCTACTAGAAATTGTATTACTTTCCGTTATGCCTTAGTAAGAAATTAAAGCGTATGTCGGCGTGCACTTACCTGAGGGTATAATGTGGTGGCGTAGTTTGCGCCTATTTTAGAGTCACCGCAGCCACCTGGCCAAGCTCTGGCATATTTCGGGTTGGCCATCAGTCGGACAGACTTGAATTTATCAGAGAAATATGATCCCACTGTGCACATAATTACGTAGAGTAGGGCTGTATTTGCTTGTGCTACACCAAGAGTGCCCTAAAAGTGGATAATATCTCATGTATAAAATACATTTTATGGTTATCTAATACTTTGGATAATTTATTGATATTTAACATTTAAAAGCCAACTTAATTTAATGAGTTCATTAAATCAGCAGAATACACGTAAAACAAATAAATTATTCAAGTAAATTGTAAAAAAAATAATCTTTTTCTATAATAATTATTATATAGTTTAAATAAGTTTAAAAAAAAACATCATGTTTTTACAGACTTTTTGTTAGTGTTTTAAGTTTTTTTTTTAAAGGGTCTTGTGCGAATAGTGACAATTGACTCGACCTCGTTCAATGATATAGAATAAATATTTCATATATTTAAAATAGCTACATATAAGCCCACATATAATGTTCGTATCAGGATAACTAGTTTCAAAAAATAAAAGGAAGAAGTATAGGTACAAACTACGAGTTAATAACGCTATTCAAGTACAACGTTATGGGCAATAAATAATTGCTAATATTAAGTATTTTTGTGAAATTATGTACAAATAGATTTGATGGGCTTTTGTCGAGAAAGATTTTCTTTTCTTTATTGAACTATTTTGAACTAGGTATACTTACTTCTGTGCCTATGAGGTTAGGTCTAATGTATAAACTGAGCGGAGCAGACACAGGTAACCACTCGTTGTCGATGGACACCAAGCGTTCAATACATTTGAGTAATATACTAGAATCTATTGGTGGTAGGCCTACTCGCTCAGCCGATTTGTTTAACCTTTGTAAGTTAAGTTCCGGTCTGAATAGATTCATGTGACCATGTTCTGATCTATATGCCTTCATTCCTTCAAACACCTATACAACAAAACAAAACATATGCTTTCATTACTAAAATGTGCGTACGATATTTTGTCGGCATTAATTATTTATCGTGATACTTATATTTTTAATGTTTTAAGGATGTCAAGGTGCTGTCGTAATAATTGTATGTAATTTTTTAATAATGTAATTTGTAGACTAAAAGTGTACGGGATTACACGGTAGGTAGGTACCTACCTCGTATATTTAAGCTAAAAGTTAAATTTCCAAGTTTGATGTATAGTGTGTGTACTTAAACGTAATAAATTGCATATGCGTTATTAATAAGGTATTTTATAAGTTATAACATTATTGGTTATCGTCTTTTTAATATTTGTGTAATGCAGTGATAAATGACAATAATATTATGTTATTAATATAGAGTATGCATGCTGTGTAGTTGCATTTTGCACACTTGCATTACACTTAACTCAGTAATGCTGAATTAATTTTTAAGTCTTCTGTATTGCAGCAATAATTAATCAAAAAAACTTAACCGAAGAGACTGCTCTCAATATTATAGAACTTGTTAAATATACACATAATATTATGAAGTATAGATTGACATTTTTCGATCTTTAAAAATCCTTGTATGAAGAGAAAAATAATAATTTAATACTTTTTTTTAAAATTAATTTCTTTTGTAACCATTAGTTTGCAAAAATATTTTATCTAATAACGTTATGAGTTTCTCAGAAAATAATATATATGATTCAATTTTTATCTGGATTCCAATCATAACTATTTTTGTAAATATTAAAAATTAAAGTTAAAATATTATTATTATTTGTTATTTTAATTAAATACTCGTATAATATGCCTAGTATCTATTTGTTCGTATTCGTATAATGTGTGTTGTGTGTATATATTTAGTTTAAGGTGGTAATAGACATTTTAAAATTTGAATTAGAAAGCCAAAAACGCAAGTGCTTATACATTTTACACATGTATCTTGCTATTCAGTTCACCTCCTGTGTTTGCTCATCTTTTATTGTTATCGGCTGATTGTATAAAAAACTATGACGTAAGTAGTTAGGTGCCTATACATATAATGTGAGCAGTGAGCACGCATGCTCATCGTGTGTGCTATATTTTTAGCGTTCAATTCTAATGATTGTTATCTACATTATACATTTTTATACTACCTACCTAAAAATTTCTATAAATGTTTATTTGTATTTAATTATGATTAAAATTATTCTTGGTAGGTATAATATATTATGTTATCGTTAAGTTTTAAAATAATTTTCTGCTTGACTTTATAATACAAKGATGTACTAAATAATCACTGTATTATTAATGTATTTATAATGTATTAAAACTAATTAAAAAAAAAAATATATATATATATAATAATTTATTAGTAACTATTAAATTTATTCTGTAAGTTACTTTTTTAGCTAATAGTTTGTGTGTATTTTATTATGTTATATAAATATTATGAATAGAATAATGTAAATTTCACCATTGTATTTAGTATTTTGCACTAAAATAATATTTACAGAAACAAATATATATTGTTTACTGGCCCGATGATACACTGGTCATTGATAAGTAATATCGTACATCTCTTACACCTAAGTCCTAAGTAACATTCTTTATTTTTCTCCTTAACAAATAGTCCAATTTTTATGACAACAATGTAGTAAAGATATGCAGTGTTATCTATGCAGTGTTATACTATATAATTTACTTGAAAATTGTCTCAAATTAAAGAACAATCTATGTTAATTAAAAACATAAACTTTAGACATTTATCATAGATTTATACTTACTATATACATACTGTTAGTGAAAGAGTTTAAAATTATTTTTCAACCAGAAGAAAGAATAAGTTTGTACTATTATTATTAAAAAAAAATGAAAATTATTTGAATTTTTAAATCTAATCATTATGTAATCAATATTTACAATATATATATATATAATTATTTATTATATAGATAGGTAATTATATTTTATTTACTATGTGTAGCCCTGCAGATACCAATTAATGTGTTTGCTTTTATTTAAAATTACTACTCGCCAGAAAAATATCTGTGAAGGTATGGAATTTTATTTATTATTTTCATAATGGCGCTCATAAAATCCTGACGCTAAGTGTTATAGGTACTGTATCTATTTTATAGCTGTTTAAAAAAAAATAATTTTTTATTTATATGTAATATACCTACTGATATTCATGATTTTACAATTTTTACTTCGAAACTCAATCTTATGCATTTTAAATATTTTAATTTTGTAGCAATGTAATTCAATATACTTACACATAATTAGGCTTTAAGTTAATTTCATAATTGTATCCTCTATGAGGATATAATATCTTGTTATAAATCACTGCTGAAAGTATAAATTATTAAAACTATACGCTTGGTTAGATAATTTAAATAAATTCGGCGATAGAACTTATATAAAAGAATTTTACGATTCACCAAAATATCCATTGTTGAATTATGATATAATAATAATAATTGTGAAAGGCTGCAATGGTCACTAGAGGGAATGTCTAAGAGACCTCCCTCCTTGATCTCTTCATACCCCCAAATAACCATACTATTATGCTATAACTCAAATACTGACTACTGATTATGACGAGAGAAGGTACATATACCCTATATATTTTCATTTTAGAGATAACAAATTTAAATAATTCCTAATAAAAAACAAGTATAACACTATTTCACCATTTTGTTACCGGTATAGACGACGAGTACTTATTGTAGTTAATTGATTACTTTTTTAACCTTTAATATTACAATAGATTTATGTACATTTTAATAAGCTAGTAATGCATTTGTTTCGTTGTTTGGATGATCATCAATATAGAAGTTCAGATTAAATATTTACATTTAAATACATATTTTACCTCAGTGGCATAATGAAGAACTTTGGCTGCAGGATGTAAGTGGAGATGTTCCATGGGAGTGATGTATGGTTTCTGCCAGCCACCTGCATGCTTGTCGTAGTGTATTTTGAGCATGTGATCAGTGAAAATTGTGCCAAATTTGATTTGAGTGCCACTTTTTAGAATATTGGTGACATTATCATTAAGCTTTGAGGATTTGCATAATGTGATATCGATATCTTGTTTTACGCACTATTGATAAAATTAAAACACACTCGTCTTAAAATTTATTTGTTATAAAATATAACGCAGGCAATAATAAAAATGTTAATTGATCGTAATGACGACCCAATCAAATATAATTTAGTCGTGAAATTTTGATTTGTACATTTAATTTTGTAATTAATTACGTATTGTTTAAGTATTATTAATATACAATTTAAACTTTGTGTATATATGGGTATATTGTATAGTGTATACATAATAATTAATTAAGTTATTGATAGTAGAGTTCATTGAAATATGAATTATGCAGTTATCGATGTAATAAAAATACTTATATATCTGTTGAAATAAGTAAGCTTAATGACAATTGAATAATTAACTGAAAATCATTGTAGATTATTTCCGATCTTGCCACAATATTATTTTAAAACACTTCAACGTTGTACTAAAAAAACGGGCTCATTGCAATTTTAAAAATAGTTTACATTATTGTATACTACCTACTATTTGTTCCAAATGTCTAAAATACCTAGTAAATACTTGTTGATATATGAAAATTGTAAGATACAGTAAAATTTAAATAGTTACCTATATCAAATATCAATATTGGCTTCTTACAAAAAAAAAGTATAATCCTTTACTTCAGATTAGGGTGTTATTATTTTAATTTAGTACCTATTCAATCATTGTTTTTAGAGTATTTATAGATACATTTTAATTCCATGTATCGAAATTTGAATTATTTTTATTTTTGATTTATGGTTGCATCTATGCGTATTTCTATATCCTACGTGTGACAAAAACAAATTATCACTCTAATTTATCTCGTTAATTATTTATGGTACCCACCAATAATAAGATGTATCATAGTATTATATGGTTAACAATCCGAGGTAATGGTGTTTGGTAATATTAATTTGAATATTTACCTTTTCAGGGTCATTTTGTGATAACGATGACTGGTTTCTTTTAGACAATAGATGTTGAATACTATACAGTTTTCTGCAAGTCTGAAAAAAATTAACTATTCATTTAAAAATATATATGAAATATATACAATATATACTGAGATTAATTCTAATAATGATTTGGGGATATGGGCATGTATGAACTCACTAGGTATTGTGCGTTGAGATCACATAAATGAGTATCAGTGGAGGGTTATTTCGTTTGAAATGTCGAAAATATTAATGATAAATCATTGCAATCGAAACTTGACCACGATAATTTATTTATCTATTTTTTACTGGTAAACGTTCATTAAATGTTTTAAAAAGCACATCCATGGGAAATATGGCAGACAGTTTAAGTTTTACTTAGCACATAAACTRACTGCTATCTTATGTTTAAWTATCAAAATGTATAAGTTATAAAGTAAAAGGCGTAAATTTTAAATAGGTACGTGAATTACAAACATAATATTTGGACTGTATTGATACTCCGTGAAAATGTAGGTACTTACTAAAATAAAATACATAAATATAAAACAAATAATTTATTTTCTTTCTCTGATTACTTATTTAAAAATATAAAATTGAGTATATTAAACAGTTTTACTGTTAATGTACCTATCTAAATCATATTTTTATCAATGAAATGTTTAATAAAAAAWGCKTATAAAAATTAATATTGTTAATAAATGTATTAAACATGTAAATATATTAATTTACCTTTTTTTGTTTAAGTATTTTTTGTGTTACTGACAGACAAGCATCAATACTCGCCATATTCGAAAAAAAAATAATCACAATTAATGAATCTTTTTATTTAATACAGTAAAATTACTTATAACTGTCAGAGACGCACATTCAGTATTTCAGTATTAGTTTAATATGTAAGTATTAAATATCAATGTGAATGCTGGAGCAATAGTCGGAAACTGAAAACAAATTCTTATAGCAATCCAAATAAATAGAATGTTATCAGTTTATAATTATCAGTTATTTTAATTGTGTATGCTAATACACAATTAAATACATAAGCATATACGTTGTTAATATACTTTATAGGGCAACGATAAAGATTACAATATTTATGTCTAATAACTTGTGTATCAAGCGTTCGATTCAACTATAAGGTCAGAAAAGTTCAAAAATATATACCTACAACTAATGACAGTATGTTAAAAATTAGTCACTTAGTCTATATTCTTAGAGCTAATAATTACGTTATAAAATATGATGCTGATGAAAAATAATTGGGTTTAAATTAGGTTTCATAATTTAGAGCAGATAATATAATATGTTAGAAATAATTTATATAATGTACACTAGTCGAAGTTTTCTTGTTTGAGTTTTGGAGCTAATAGTTTGTCTTATAAATAATATTGAATTAGTTATGACTTTAAAATAAAAGGTAATTTTTGTACCTTTTTTGGAATGTAAAACTGAAAAATTAGCATCCTTCTAAAATTTGATATCGGTAAATTATTATGGCCACACGCACTACGCAAACATCGCCGTTACAGGTACCTACATTACGATTCGCGGGATCAATCGACCGTTTTCTAAAGCTTTTAAACTAACCTATAATGCCTATTACTTCATTGGCTTAACAATGAAATYTAGTTTTTACACAATATAAACGATACAATTTATTTAAAAATATATTTTATATGAAATTATACGATATAAAAATATAATAGCGTGCTATTTAGATTGGCTTGTTCAATCAGCAATGCCATACTATGATGATGATAGGACTTGTATCAAAAAAGTCATAGTACCTACTTTTAGTTAGTAGTTTATAGMTGAAAATAATTTAAGACAATTATTAGAAGACGGGTTAAAAAAATAATATAATATAATATTTATGAAATAAAAATTTTAAGTTATTGAAGCTTATTAAAGCTAGACAGTGAATATTATATTTTATACATATGATTTTGAAGTAGAATTTGGTGTGTATATTATTCAGTCAAAAAAATTATTTTATGATATATATTATCATGCAAGTAAAAAAAAGCTGGTAAGTCGTGAATGTCACTCTACTGTACAGTAGGTTACAACTTACAAGTGGGTTACCTACTGTAATGGATGAAATTAAATTTGAATCCAATGATATTATATCATTGTATACGAAATACGATTCTGAGCGGAGACGGTTTATCTGTCTAGGATATAATATAGATTATTAAAAATTTTCAAATCTTGGATTTAAAAAGAAAAATTTTTATGCATTTCTATAGCTTAAAATAATTT